GGTCAAATTCACAACCACATCTATAAACATGTATCTTTGGCACACCAGCATCAAGTTCCGAAATACCATCTCGAGACAGGCCGTGAAAAGCTTGGACGATGTGAGTCCGCTTTCCTACATATATATATTTTTTTTTATCAGTTCACCCCTGCGACGTATTCAGCCGCAAAGAAGTCTCTCAGTAGTCTCTTTTCCTGATTTATTTTCTCACTACTGTGATGATTACTGGTCTTGAAAATATGTGCTAAAATCATTCACAGCAGTGAACGTCTTTTTTTTTCATTGAACTATTAATGAAATATTCTACGCAAGAAATGTAAAAAAAAAAAAAACTAACTTGCAACCATATCTGTTTATGGCATACGTCGCAAAATGCAACAGAAAGGAAAGTTTTTCTCACAAAACTATGTTTTATGGATACCAGTATGGAGAGATATGCACTGTGCACCCAAAGCTCCTTCTTTTCGAGGACCTGTAAGAGCGTTCGATAAGGCCATAATTAACAAAAAAAGGAAGAAAAAAAGCCAAGCCAAAATAGAAAAAACAAGGGTATTTATAAATGGTAAAAGTAAATTAAAGAGACAGAAAATTTACGCTGGATAAGGTCTCCAAATCCATGCTGAGATCGACACGAGGACTGGACGGGTCAGCACCAACGCAAACTCGGCACATTTGTGGCAAAATTGCTCGCTTCTCCAGGATTTTGGCGATTGCATCCCGTGTCAAAACACCAGGCTTCACTTCCAGCTGCAGCACACATCAGCGAGGAGCTGCTCAGGGCGTCAAATTAACATGACTTTACAAAGAAAAAAAAACACACACACAGAAAACCAACTTTAGAGTGCTGATTAAAAGGAAGATGAAGCAAGATCAGGGAATCATCGAGGCGTTTGGGAGAGGTGCACGGCGACGGGCTGCCACCACTTCGGCCAACGCAGGTTTCCTGTAAAATCCAAAAAAAAAAAATTTTTTTTACACATATTTTCGTTGCGTATGAAATGAATTTTTACAGAAATGCAAATTCAAAGCAAAAAAAAAAACGAGGAATTTCCGGGTGAACGAAACGTAGAGTTCTCTGATATATAAGCACACAGTCCAATAATTAAACATTGTGTTGGTGGATGCAAAAATATGATGATAGGCAATTAGCTGCTTTATAAATAACTGTAAGGAAAGTGGCAAACGTACTCCAACAACTGTTGGTGAAGAAGGACTGATGAGAGGCGACAGAGACTGTGCGCCCTGATATCCGGAAGAGCAACCTTCTGCTGCGTCGCCAAGAAGAGACATCCCGCCGTCACCGTCGACGCCGATCTCAAGTCATCTGCAACACTTGCCCATCCGGAAATCCCAAATAGCAACAAATCTCGACATCGCATATCCAAGCCCCTGTCATTGACAAAATCAGAAATAACAGAGCAGCAGAGAAGGGACCAGTCTCTAAGTGTCATGTGCAAGAAGACATGCTTGC